CCCCAAAACCCCAAAACCCCAAAACCCCAAAACCCCGATAATATTTTAATTTCTTGAATAAATAATTTAAAATTCCTTATTTCAAAACAATGGCTGAAAAGTCCAAGATCAATGTGAGTATCCCTATTTACAAGAGGAAGCTGAAGAAGACAGACGTACACCTGAAGAAGGAAGATAAAAAGAACTGGGGGAGGTTTCTAGACAATCACTATAATGATAAACTGCACTCTAAACCTTTCGGAATCTCTACTAAGGCTTCTCAGGCTCATTACAAATATTCAAAATCTGGCCTCTCGCATCACTACAAAACGGTCAAAATCTTAGAGAAGCTCACAGTCGAAGAGCAGAACAAAAGGGAGGCTGAGAGAAGGAAGTTCAAAGAAGCCGATCAACTCAAAGGTGACGACATCTATGTCTTCATCGAATATTGCTCTAACTCTGAACGAACTCAGGTATCAACAAGGCATATTCAGGAAAAGTATGAAATTTTTGCCAAGAAGTTCCGACAGGGAATTCTAGAGAAATTTCCCTTTATAAAAGTGTATTTGAAGTCTCACTCTGATGAAGAGAAGGTCACGAAGTACACTTTAAGCGATAATATGAATGCAAATATTATTGAAAACCAACGGTCAGTTGTAAGAATCGGAGCATTTGAAATCAGCCTTGCTAGAAAATTCCGACACATTGTAAAAACAGAGCTTCTGTTCTCAAAGTTAAAGTCAAAGTTATGGCCAAGCATGCCCATTCTGTTGCAGAAGATTTCAACCCATCTGCCTAAGACTAACCTTGTGGTCAATGTATTCAACCCAGATAACCCTGAAGATAAGGAAGGATTAGAGGAGATCAAAGTCAATCTCAGACTTTCTTTTAAAAATTGAAAAGCTAATGATGAACTCAAAGAAGAAATTAGTAAAATTCATGATGGAAAAATTAATGAGGCGCTCAAAACTCGTGAGAAATTAATAAAGCAGAGATCAATAAGTGCTCAAAGAAGATATGGAAAGATCACTAACTTCAGCATGAGGGAAGAGTCTCATAAAATGTCTACAGCTTCCAACCAACGTCCTTTCACTGCAGTCAGCAAGTTTTCAGCATCTCTTCACAAGAGTATCCAGAGTATGGTCAAGCAGAATAATGAGTACAAGAGAACACATGGACGTAAGCCATTTGTCTATATTTTGACTGTACTTCAAATCTATTTCATATTTAAGAGAGATGACCTCTTAGATCTCTTATCTCAAACTTACAGTAGCTCAATTTCTCTGGCAATAATTTTTCCTAATCTGAGTGGTATTGATATCGATTGCCTCTAAGTTTTCATAATCTTCATATCTTGAGAAAGCAAGAAATCAGCTTCAGATCACAAAGCTCTGGAATGAACAATTTTCAATGCATTTGAGCTTTGTCTAGTATTTAAATTTTCAAAAATCACCAAAATTGTAGATAAAGCAGAAAGCCAACTAAAATGGTCGACTGTAATTCTTGTGTAAATGTTGCTCAAAAGTGCTATTCTAGTCAACCTAAAATGTTTATCGTATCAGGGTCAGTAGCTTGGACTATTAAAAGTTTAAAGACTTCTTGAGGTGATCCCAAGGCGTTATAAAAAGTACATCTAAAGCTCAACATAAGCAGTAAAATCTCAAAAGTTACTCTAGAAAATTTAGCTTATTAGATCCAAAAATTATCAAACACTAAATTTTATTGTTCCAGTTAGAAAAGACAAATTAGGAGTAGAATTATTTCTCAAAGTCTTGAATTATGATAGTCTAAACTTTTTATAGAGAGTGTCCAAATCCCAATGACTAGGAGCAATGGGCCCAGAAATCTCACTACTGTAGGAAGGAGGTCTGTCAGACCCTCTACAGGAGCCAGTATGAACACACTCAACATAAAAACAATGGAACGCAAAAATGCCAGAAACGCTTACAGCTCTTACTCAATAGGGTTTAAGTCTAAGAAAAAGAAGAAGAATGGGGTTAAAGTAGAAGATATAGAATTTTCCTCTCAGCCTAACGAAGAATACCAGATCCTCTTCGAGAACATTCCAAAAGCTGTCTATGATATTGAGACAGAAGAGAGTCCCTTCTTTCAAAAAGCAAGCAGATCAGTAAACCTCATGCTGGAAGGGGACAACAAAGGAGAGAGTATGGTATACCTCCCTGTAGAGAGACAACTGACCTCCTGCACCTCTCTCTATTTCATCAAAACCCAAGAGAATTCCGACGACTTCAACCCTGAAATTGAAGAGCCTCAATACTTTAATGATCTCAGAGTCAGAGCTTTACTTCTAGAAAAAGCAAGTAATCCCTACAATCAAGAGCCTGGAGAGGACTCAGACGATGGCAATGAGACTGAATATGAAGAAGAGTTCTACTATGACAGAAACTCTAGTTGCTACAGATGTGGACTCGAGCCTGGAAAATACATGATGGTAGTTGATGGTGATGACCTTGCACAATATTCCGAAACAATTGACATTTATGAAGGAAGCATCACTCAAGAGATCATTCTCAAAAAGAAAGACAAGAAGGTCTTCCTTTTCTGTGTCAGGAACGGTCAAACAGGTGAAAATATCAACTCAAGTATTGTAAAATTCAAGAAAAAGACTTCTAAAAGCGTATCGGAAGTTATTACAGATGAGAGAGGTATCTGAACTTGTTATCTTGATGGCTTTGGAGCATATTCAGTCCAAGCAGAAAGGAAAGGATATATCACCTCGAAGCTTGACTTTCAGTATACTAAAATGAATCAAGAGATGGACCAACTAACACTACTCATGCTGCCTGAGGAACCTCTAGCCAAAAAGCCAGAAGATAATGGTGGAGAAGTTAAACCAACTGTCAGACTTAGAATGATCTTTTACGTTGAAAATGCTCATGAATCCGGACCTCCAATGATAAAGTACAAGAAAGAAGCTGAAGGTGAAGAGAGCACTGAAGAAACCTGCACTCCAAACGGAGAGATCTTTGAAGACAACTTCTATTTCAGAATAATGAGAGCAGGAGATAGTAACTGGTACTACGGAGAAATTGAAACAAATAAAGACAAATGGATTAGATTTTATCAACCTATTGCAAACCTAAAGGTTCCTACTTACGAAGAGATTGATCAATTTAGCGTCTGAAATGTGAAAATTCCTCAAGCAAGATTTATCCTCTATTCAGAGAAAAATGAGCTGGGAAAGGTGAGCCCCAGCTTTGTCGATGATTACCATCCAATATGGGACATTGGTCTGCTAAATCCAGTTCAAAAGAAGTTTGTCCAGACCAACTTCTTTGTGAGGAATGATGAAAAACTCACAAGAAAAGCAATGATGAGGCCATATTTCAAGTTTATCCAGTATTTGAATAACCAGAATGAGTTCTATAACTTTAGTTACATTTTTGGATTCAATGAAGGAGTCTTCAAATTTGATGATTATCACATCACTGCTCTTAACTTCTATTCCAGAATGAAGGCACTAGACGTAGAGTGGATCAACCCTGAAATTCCAGAGGGAGAGCAGCACGAAGAAGCTAGACTTGATTTCGAAGCCTTCCTACACTACATGTCTTCATCTATGGTAAATGTTCTTGGGGAAGTTCCTCTCAAGAAGGTAACTGAGAGGTTTGGTCCACATTTAAATACTGCTGCTAAGAAATAATTCATAATTTGCAATAAATATCATCCTAAAGGGGTTTTGGGGTTTTGGGGTTTTGGGGTTTTGGGGTTTTGGGG